ATTACTATAACCCGGAGAAGGTCAAAAATTTCCTCAAGGAAGCCAAGCTCAGAGATCAGCTTCCCCTCATCATCGTTTGCGACCATTTTGACTTTGTCCATGACCTTGTTCTTTATCTCCTACCAAACAACCTCACCAACTTCACCGAGGTGTATGTCCAGAGGGTCAACTCCATCCGCACACCCTGGGTGGTTGGCGGTTTGTTGGATGTCGACTGCGATGAGAACACTATAAGGCTCTCCTTGCTTCTTTCACTGGCAACTTCTCCCTCGACGAGCTCGTACATGAAGTCGAGCAACGTAACCAATTGAAGTTGATTCCTCCTTGGCTTGAGGCAAGAGTTTAGGCTGGCAGCAGGACGCGGCTCTTTACAACGTGATTGCGAAGATTTACATCGACAGCAACAACAACCCGGAAGCCTTCCTGAAAGATAACAATATGCGTCCCTTTTGCCTCTCTTTGCTCATGTATAACACAACTAAACCTTTAGCTCTACGAACCTCTTGTCGTTGGAAAGTTCTGTGAGAAGCGGGATCCTTACCTTGCTTATATCGCATACGCAAAAGGCTTCTGTGACGATGAACTGATCACCATCACCAACGACAACACAATGTTCAAGCAGCAGGCCCGTTATCTCGTGAAGCGTTGCCAACCTGAGCTTTGGGCCCAAGTTCTTGTTTCCGATAATCTCCACCGCCGCGCCTTGATTGACCAAGTAAGTTGCATATTCACTCATCTCTTACATACCGCTCATGCTACGATAGATTGTGGCCACTGCGCTGCCTGAGTCTACGGATCCAGACAACGTATCGGTCACTGTCAAGGCCTTTTTGATTGCCGACCTCCCCATCGAGCTCATTGAGCTGCTGGAAAAGATCATCATTGAGCTGTCTCCGTTCAGCAATAACAAGAACCTGCAGAACCTCCTTCCTTTGACCGCCGTTTGTGCAGACAAGGGCAAAGTTGTCGGTTATATCAACAAACTCCAAAACTATGACTATATGGAGATTGCTAAGATCGCAACCGAGCACGGACTGTTCAAAGAGGCTCTTACGATCTACAAGAAGTATGACCAGCACGCGATGGCTATTACGGTTCTTGTTGAACACATTGTTTTTCTGGATCGCGGTGTCGAGTACGCGATCCAGGTCAACCTGCCTGAGGTTTGGAGCCGACTTGCCAAGGCTCAGCTGGACGGTCTTCGTATCAAGGATTCCATTGACTCTTACATCAAGGCGGAAGATGCTTCTACTTTCCTCGAAGTCATCGTTGCGGGCTCCGGGGATGCCTGGTGTGAAGAATGAGAAGAAGAGTGTTGATACGCATCGGACGGTGGTTAAATCTGGGGAGGAATTGGAGAAGGAGAGGTAGAAAGCCAAGCGGGGAAGAGAATGCAAAAGGAAAAGAGAATAAGAAGACGTACGCAGGACACAGTAGCACATCGAGGCCGTTGACGTAGCGGTTGTTTTCGAGGATTGAAGAAGAGATGGATTGGGGGAGGGAGAGGAACGATGAGACGGCAGGAGTGGAAAGGTACAGGGATGTAGGCAATGCGATTCCGAAAACGAGCATGCTCATATGGACGAGCTGATGTCCGCATCTGCAGGAGCAATACCGTGAAGTAAAGGCCGAATTCGAACATATGGAACCCCCTTTGAAATTGAGATTTTCTCAGTCTCATCATCACCAGGAAATGTCTCTTGACTCTGGGGGAAACAGCCATCGACGCCTACACTTCGAAAACAAAGAAGTCGTCCTAATTGTGATTTGAAGTCGCAGTATTTGTGATTGGGATGCGTCAATGGAGGAGAGGGATAATTCTTGTTGGCCAAGTACTGGGTTATGGTTGTTTTTCAATGTGTCGAATCATACTGTGCGTTTACTCGGACTGCTACTACGAATTGACAGGAGCAGCTCCTGGTACCCCTTTGACCCTCTCAACAATTATGCTATTCAGCCAGGCTGGAAGTGTTTGCTGAGAAAGGATTAGTTGCGAGTCACGGTGAGTGCAGATAAGGATTACGGCGCCAATTTCTTAGTCGCTCACCAGGCTCCTTCTGAACTACTTAGCCCAACTCTCTTTCTCAAATACTCAGCTGAGCCTACTACATGATGAGTGACAAAGATAATCTTGCTGTGGTCTCAAAAGTTAGTCAATGCCCCGGAAATCTGCTGCTCAACTGAGCTCTCTTTTATCTTCAGGCCTTTGTATATTGGTCCGGGAAAGCCAAGGCTAAAGTTCTTCACCCGCTATGTCTTCAACGCATCATACGTCGAGTGGCGTCGCAGACGGGATTAAAATTGTACAATGAATTTCATTGGGTATTCGTGCATGTCTTCCTTTCATTGCGTTCAATTCATATCATTAATGGAACTTTTCAGTGCTGCTGAGACTCGCAACCACAATCATTTTACGATTCGAGTCTTCCGTAAAAAATACAGAGAAGACGCTGTCTTTACAGTTCATTTCTACGGCGACAGGAAGACAGAGCTTTTCGGGACCGCACGTTTCAAGAAGGACTTCCGCTTTTACAAGCCCCATCTCGCTGGAGTAGTGTATCTTTGATCATGTATCAGTCAGTGCTTTTGCTGGTATCCAATGTTTTTGTTGCTGATTTCTATCTGCCAGGCATCCGGAACTATCATGCATTTTCGATTTTCTGCTATTAATTATTGTGAAGTAGCTTGGAATCGTTCAATGTTATAGTACTATGTTCCGAATCATAAGCGCCCACGTTTTGTCTGCAACTGTCATATCATTCCGGCTCTACTCTCTTTAGAACGCCAGCAATCGATGGAAAAGGAACTCAAGTAAAGGAGCAGGGGAGCAAAAACTGGCAGAAGCATAAGGAATTAGAAAGAGAAGATTGTTCATGGCTACGGTGAGTTTTCGCATTCTCATCTCTTAACTTTATACCGACGTGTTTCTCAATGCTACTAGTTCGCAAAATGAACTCGAATAGCAATCGCAAGCCCTCGAGGTGGGAACGACTGTCAAGCATAAGAATATCTTGCTCATCAGAGCTGGTAAAAGCTCAATTGGTGTCGAAATTGTCGAGGGTTTGGTCTCTGGTGGCACGCACATTGTCATCACCACCTCCTGCTACGACCACTCCCCGGTTGAATACCACCAGTTGATTTCCCAGACCTTTGAAAGTCATGGATCTGCTCTTACCGTCGTACCTTTCAACCAGGGCTCAAAGAGCCCTCTTTGACTTCATTCACACCACTCTCGGAATGGATCTCGACTTCATTCTTCCCTTTGCCGGAATTCCAGAGAACAGCCGCGAGATCGACGGTATCGACGACAAGTCCGATTTGGTTGCGCCTGGGAAAGTTGTCAAGGTTAAGGGCCACATCTATTGCAATGGAAAGCCCGTTGTCGAAGTCGTTTCTGCATTCCTTTCTTCACCGACTTCCCAAACACCTTCGAGTTGACTGAGGAACCGGACTACATCGTCACTTGGTTTGAGTGGGAAGATGAGTCCCGATCTCTCACCCCTGGACTTCCCCTTGTCTTCCAATTGCAGTCCAAGGTTTTGTTCAAGGATCGGGTCTCCTTCTGCGAGCTTTTGGTTACTGGTGACATCTTCATCCAAGATCAGTTGAAGAATTTCCACAAGGTTGGATCTGTTGACTTCCAGGCAGACGATGCGCATGGAAATCCCGTTGTTTCTTACCTTCAGAGGCACGGTGTTGCTCAAGGTCTTACTGTCCCCCTCGCCAACAAAGGCTATACCCTCACCAGCATGGAGGGTTCTACTTCTTTCTCCGCGCTTCTCACTAACGAACCCTACTCTGGCGTTTCGGGCGATTCCAACCCAATCCACATCAACCCATACTTCTCCTGCTATGCGGGTCTGCCTGGTACGATTACGCATGGCTTATGGTCCAGTGCTGCTACCCGTCGATACAATTAGAACGTTGTTGCAAAGGAACATCCAGAACGTGTACTTTCGTGAGTCTCAAGTCTTTTTCCATGTATTTGACGCTGAATATCACCTTTTTTCTTTAGGTACAATGTTTCCTTTGTCAGAATGGTTCTTCCAGGAGAGGAGTTTACGGTCAACATACGCCATCTCGGTATGCGAGATGGCAACATTGTTGTCAAGGTCGAGACTGTAAACTCTTCCAGCGAGAAGGTCTTGGAGGGTTCAGTGGAGGTTTCTCAAACTATGACTTCCTATCGTCTTTAACGGACAAGGATCGCAGGAGCCTGGTATGGTATGGATCTCTACAACACCTCTCCCGCTGCTCGTGCTGTCTGGGACAGTGCTGACGAACATTGTCGCGCGGTATATGGATTCTCCATCGTCAAAAATGTCAAGGACAACCCGAAGGACAAGACTATCCATTTCGGTGGTATCAAAGGGCAGGCCATCCGCCAACGCTACATGGAGATGTCCTATGATACTGATAAGGACGGGCACGTCAAGACCCTCCCCCTCTTCGCGGACATCGTCATTCTTACTCCCAAGTACACCTTCAACCACCGTAATGGTGTACTCTTTGCTCAGATCGCACTCGTCGTTACTGAGAAGGCGGCATTCGAAGACATGCGGGCCAAAGGGTTTGTCCAGACCGACTGTGCGTTTGCTGGTCACTCCCTCGGTGAATATTCTGCTTTGGCGTCTATCGCCAATGTTCTCACCATATCTGCTCTTGTCGATATCATCTTTTATTGTGGAATTACGATGCAGCGCGCTGTCGAACGTGATTTGGAAAACTGTTCCAACTACGCTATGTGCGCAGTCAATCCGAGCCTAATCTCCAAAGAGCTTTGAGAGAGGTAGTTGATACTATTTCTCAGCTCACTGGAACTCTTTTGGAGATTGTTAACTAATGTTGAGGTATGTGGTCTATTTTTCTGTTGCCATTTTCTTACTTATTTATTACAGGGACAACAATACGTATGCGCTGGAGAGCTGGTCGCGCTGCAGACCATGATGAACGTCTCAAGGGTCAAGATACGTAACGCTAATGTCACTACTCCTAAACGTGCCTCAGTGGTGTAGAGGTTATTATACCTGGTTCAATTAATTACTGTCAACGCTGTCAACGCTGTCGAATGTGAGAGCAGGTGACATGGGTTCGATTCCCTTCTGAGGCATTATTTTTCTACTCTTTTGTGGCATTAAAAGTGAATGGTGGATGTGGCAGCATCAACGCAACTTTGGGTTTTGCTTTGACTATTTAGTACTAGTGTTGCCAGTAGTAGAGTAGATGCAATATTACTACTAGTATTCATTGAAGTCTGTGCAAAAGAGATAACTACAAAAAGTGCCTAAAATGAGCCTGATAATATATCTAACCAGGGGTAGCCTAGATTAGCCTCACAGGATAGCCTAGATTAGCCCTACTGGATAGCCTAGATTAACCCTAGAGGCTAATCTAGACTAACCTCAGGTACCCTCAGGTACCCTGGGTCACCCAGGCTACCCAGGCTACCCAGGCTATCTCAGGCTATCTCAGGTCAGCCTCTAGGGGTAGCCTCAGTTTTCCCAGGCTAATGCAGGTCCAGAGCATTTTTGCTGATGTTGATGCATGATCTGGTTGCTCCGCAATCTAGAAGTGCGTCTGCTTCTATTTGATTGCCTTTTGTGATGTCTTCAATTATGACCGATAATTTAAGGTCTTTGCCTTTTGTTCCTCTTATGAAACGTTTGCATTTGAAGTTATTGACTGCTTCAATTGCATCAGGTACCGACAATTTCCTTATTTCCGTTACCGTTTGATCCGTTATTTCCCGTCATCGGTTATTAGGGACCCAGGTCCGTAATTCCCTGATTGCTCGAGAGTCATTTGATGTCCGAATGTTAGTTAACCAGCCATTCCGAAGAATTCAGAGCGAACTTTACAGGATTTTCAGTCTTTTTTGGAGATGGCAAAATAGGAGTAGATTCAGGTGTATTTATCGTATATGAAATACCACTATCAACATATATAGAGCTGTCCATGTCCGAAACTGACTGAGACTCAACAGGACCTGTGTTCACTGTTGAGATTTCACAAAACCCCAGAGCTTCCCGAGCTCTGCCTGATCTTCCTCGTTCAACGTCATAAACGCCTGACGTATTGTTTCTCGTTTATTCAGGCAATCTCTCTTCATATGTCCGGGTTGTCCACACCCAAAACATTTGAATGGGCCTCGTGTTCTGCCCTGGTCTAACTCCATTGGTTGACCGCTTCCTCCGTAGGTGACACTGGTGCCATCCTGTTGATGAGGTTGGGATGTTTGTGGAGTTGTTTTGGGTGTTTGCACCTGAGGAGTGGTTTTCTGAGTGGAGTACCACTGATTTCCGAAGCCCCATTGCTTTGTCTCATTATTCCTCCTTCTCCAAAGGTCATCAAGGTCAACACACCTCTTCTTCCATTCGCTGAAAGTGTCGGGTAGGATTCTGACACTATAAATACTGTCAATAATGGATTTATTGACTGCACATGTTATTTTTTGCAGGACATGTGTATCGTCCTCTCCATATTCTGCAGTACTGACTAGTACTTCGAAACGTTCAAAGAATGCTGCTGCGGTTTTGTCTTTTCCTTGACGAATTCTTTCAAATCTTTCTCTGGCATTGGCGTGCCTTGCCGTATCCAGGTATTGGTTATCAAGTTTCTTCATGAAATACATCCAAGTTGTATTCCATGTTCCTTCATCTTCTGAGTAGTAAACGTGATACTGGTTTTCAACCCAGTCTCGTACTTTCTCTCCTTCCATGTAGGAGATTGTGACGTTGATTCGTTCATCGTCTGATCAAATCTTGTTCTTTGGGTCATTAACCCAGGTGATTAGTTTACGCTTCCATTTGCGGAAGCTCTCTTTATCTCCTTTAAACATTGGAGGTTCCTTCAAGAGAGACTTTCCACTAGTGGAAGTCGTGTTTTCTGCTCCTGGACGTGTTACGGTCCATCCTTCCCGTATGAGGAATTTGGCGAGTTGTTCCGGGGTGGGAACAGGAGCAGGTTGGGGATTGGTTGGAGCAGGGTTAGCGTTAGATTGTGGTTCAGACATGGTGGATATAGATGATAGAGGGGTTGTAGTTTGGTCAGATGGAGTGGGAGGTCTGGAGTTACGAGCTCGATAAGTCATACGATCCAGAATGGTGAGAGGTGAATGTGATCAACAACTCTCGGAATATAAAATGATGAAAAAGAAGATAAAAGAAATAGAAAGGTGGAGGAATAGGAATGCAATGAAATGGATATAACATCAGCAAAAACTGTTTTGGGCCCAGGAGGATCTAAGGTCACCTAGTCCTCTTAGGCAACCTGAGGCATCCTAGTTGGCCCAGGAAAAAGGGTAAAACTTTGGACACCTCAGGTATCCTAGTCATCCTAGGTGTCCTGGGAGATCCTGGGGCATCCTGGGGCATCCTGAGGCATCCTGGGATGGAACTTTTATCCTAGGATGACTCAGGATGCCCCAGGATGCCCCAGGACATCCCAGGATCTCCCAGGACACCTAGGATGACTAGGATACCTGAGGTGTCCAAAGTTTTACCCTTTTTCCTGGGCCAACTAGGATGCCTCAGGTTGCCTAAGAGGACTAGGTGACCTTAGATCCTCCTGGGCCCAAAACAGTTTTTTTCTGATGAATGCAAAATGTGTAAGGGTTGTGTGAAGAGTGTTCACAAACAGTCTTTGCACTTGTCTTGCTGACTTAACACGGCTCTCCGACTAGGAATGGAGCAATGTTCCGTGTGCTATGACCCCTCTCCGAAGATTGGTTATCAGTCAAAGGCTTTCAACTACCAGTACTACAAGTTGGACTCAACGTTACTCATGTTGTACTATAGGTGTCTATAAGTCTAATTGGGTGCAAAGATCTGTAAGGCAAAAGGTTGGTAGAACGGTAAGCGTAGTGTGCGGGATGAAAGAATTATGATTGCGTAGTGTGGAATACAAAATGTGAAATCTTGAGTAGCAAGAGATCACAACAATGTTGAAGAATACTGTCGACCAGTTATCAACAACGAGCAACGATCCATGACAAGTGGAAGAGAGTAGCTTCAATCTTCTGTCAGCGACTAGTTCCCCACAACACGAGGTACCAGGCATCACGACTTCCGACTTAGGCAAAGACAAGAATGATGAGGAAAAGAGAAGAAGATGATATTGAGAACTAGGAGGTATTGACAAGATTGAAGCTAAGGACTAAGCTACAGCTACAACTACTTATATACTAAAGTACAAACCCTAAGCCCTATACCCTATACCCTGACCGTGCGGTAACAATGCATGAAATGATAAAAGACAACAAGTAAACAACAATAAGTAATGATAGGTCGATTGTACAAGTATGGACATGTTAGCATGTGTTATGATCGGAAACGATCATACTCTGATCGACAAAACCTAATTAGTACAGCTGCGCGTCTAACGCGTTTATATGATATACAAGAGTAAATAAAGGGAAATGATAAGGAATAATGCCATGTGTCTGATAAGATAAGAACGTTCGTAACACTAGGTCTCCTAGGACACCCAGGACACCCAGGACACCTAGGTCTCCCAGGCTTTCATAAGTCCACCCCCTTATTCCTGGGCTTCTTGAAGGAATCCTGAGGGAACCTGAGGAAACTTGAGGAAGCCTGAGGAAGCCTGAGGAAGCCTGAGGAAGCCTGAGGAAGCCTGAGGAAGCCTGAGGAAGCCTGAGGAAGCCTGGGAAGCCTGAGGCAACTTGAGGTAACCTAGGGATACTTCTGCTGAGTTATACAACCCAAAAAATAATTCTCATACTTTATTATTCAGCTGTATCTTTTTGCTCAATTTCCACATTTATATCACTTAAACCTTATTATCTTATTAAACTCATGGATTTTTGAATTATTTAAAGTGAACTTATTTTTCGAGACTCATTAATGTTTTACTGGCCTTAACTTATGACTCGGAACACCTCACCTAAGTATTTTTAAGTCAAGTTCAAGTAGACTAACATATTTATCAAGTTACCTGTTACTTCATGATGAATCTGATTTGACCCCATCAACAGACTTTTAATTGTACGCAGTCTACAGGCGCCCACGCGGTTCGGCGCTTATTTTGGCGCTTATTTTACGCAATTATATGTTGATAAATTCCAATAATTGGGGTGTCTACTGTTCTTTTAATGATATTTATACACATTATAATTCAATGTACTAGTTTATTGGAGCTATTTAGCTTGTAATCCTAGTTCTAGATAAATCTCAGGCTGTCCCAGGCTTTCCCAGGCTTATTCCCAGGCTTCCTCAGGTCTTCTCCATGCAGGCTGCCCCAGGTTCTACCTACTCAGGTTGATACTCAGGTTGTGTTCAGGTTGCACTTAGGTTGTGCTCAGGTTGTGTTCAGGCTGCAAGAAGGCTCCCTCTGGTGATATCAGGATTTGGGCATATTCCTAGGTAGCCTAAGTCACTCTCAAGTGATATTAGGATTTGGGCATATTCCTAGGTGGCCTAAGTCACCCAGGCTGCCCAGGTTGCCCAGGTCATATTAGTCTAACCTATAGGCTATCCCAGACCCAGACCATTTTTGCTGATGAGGATTGTTACAGGAGGGACCATACTGTTTCAGAATTTTTGGGGACAGTTATGAGTGTGTTCTTGGCAGCCGTGACCGTTTACGAGATGGTCTAGAGCAATAATAACAATCAAAATATATCAAAACTCATTTATATTTGGTCGCTAGTAAAATACAAGTTAGTTACATTTTGCCGAGTCTTGGCTGCAAGCGCGGTAAAAAACAAGTTAACTTGATTGAATTGAACAAGTTAGCAAAACAAGTTACTTTGCTCACACTCCGCTGGACGTTGATGCCGGATGTTTCTCATTCTGGCATCTGACACATGTTTGCAGTCGGTACTATCGATGACCCGGAGGTTTAAAAAATCACAGTAAATTGCTTGCGGTGCTTGCACATCACAGTCTTTCTGCTTGTAAATTTTAATATAAGGTCTTGTACATACTTCAAAGGCATCTGTCTATTTACATTGAAGACATATTTCAAGGAAAAAATTCAGGATTTTTGAACTTGTGCGAAATCACACTTTTTTCAGGTTCACATCAGGTTCTTGATTTTTAGAGCCACAAATACTTCACGGGCAAGTATAAGCTTTTAACAGTACCTTTGGTA